CGGATTTTGACGGTGGAAATTCCCAAAAATTCACGTTTTTTTGAAAATTCGAGTGTTTTTTCCCTGACTTTTTCCGATTTTTTTTTTTTTTGGCAAACTAATCCGAAACTGACCCTCAAGTTGCAACTTCCGGGTAGTTCACTCATTAACGGTGAACTCCCGGACTAAAGATGATCTCAACGGATACCTAATCTTGATACAATTCAAATTTGTTCGTTATCATTATTGCAAACATTGTTTTATTGATTATCATTCAGAGTTATTATTTCGTTATTTATCATTAATTCACTTTATTGATTAAATAATTCGTTAATTTTATTTCTTATTACGAATTTTTGAATTGTTTACGGGAAATTTATTTTCTGTTTTGATTAGGTGTCTACAGTCCATCATTGGGACAGGGGACTGTATGCGTATTGTTTGATTGTTCTACCCCTGTTCCCACCCTCCCTACCCTCCCCGTACTCTGTGACCACCGGGTTTTTCAAGTACCACATCAGCTAGCACTGATGTCGATGGAACAAGACACCGGGGCACTGCCACGACGCAGTGCCAGGCTTGCAGGGCGTGCCCGCTCTGTGAAACCCCTCCGACGCAGGACTCAGCGACTCAGCAGCGGGACGACTCCAGCGGCATCGAGTACAGCATTGACGGTACCGGGTACCACCGGAGTTCTTCCCGCATGCCCGGTCCAAGGGGCCGGTGAGCCGTTAGCAGATTACCTTCAGCGGGTACAGGCATTCACCGATGCCGTAGCAACCGCAAAGGCACAGGAGGAAGCAGAGGCGGAACGTCAACGGCTGGCCAAAGAGGCAGCAGCCCAAGCTCAGCAGACTGATGAGGATGACGCAGCAGCACGGGACCAACGGAATGCCGCCAGCACGGAATCCCTGATTCATAATGAGAATCAGTGGACAACGATCCTCGAGGGCATGATCTTTGTGCCTTCGGAAGAGCGGGCAGATACGACACCGGCGGAGGCAGAGAGGACTCACCTGGCTAACGTGATGTTGACAATGATGCGAGCCATCATGTGGAACAATACGATGTTAGCAGTACAAATACACGAAAGCAGACAGCTGCAACAGATTCAGCAGAGGGATTCTGCAGCCTTGTCAGCAGCTGTTCGCACTACCGCCACACATCAGCAACAACAGCAACAGCTGTGGAACACCACCACCGCACGCGTCAGCAGCATCGAGGCTAAGGCCTCAGCAGCGCCAGGCTGCACGACAGACGAGACGAAGCAACTCAACAGGCGCATCGATCACATCGTCAAGCTCATCGGCGACATAGGTGTTTTAAATGGGCCGGACACGATCAGTAGCACGGTAGCCGCCATCAAGACGGACATCACCAAGCTACAGACGAGACCGGACGCCGCGACGAAGAGTTACAAAATGCCACACTTCGACATCAGCAAGTTCGACGACCACAACAAGACGGACGCCTTGGCATGGTGGCAACGTTTCCTTACGGAAGCATCCTGCCGCACTGTCCCAGACTACTACATGATGAAGGCGCTATACTTACAGCTGATTGGAGGAGCGCAGGCATGGATGAACCACATGGCGGCTACCCACACATGCACCATCGCCGAACTTCACACGCACATCACGTGGAAGGAATTCGAGCAGCTATGGTTCACCCGGTTCATGGTCCGCAACGTCGTGAAGGCGGCCATGAACGAGGTGTACACCTGCTCTCAAGGAAGTATGCCAACTCGAGACCGGACAACCAAGTGGCAGAAGATAGTGACCACGCCAGGCTTCGATTTGACTTTTCCAAATCAACGATCCGAGTTCTTCTCGCGATCGTGCGCAGGATTGCGATCGGCACTCGATAATGAGTATGACTATACCTCGTTCCAGGCCATCCTGGATCGCGCAAACCTGGTCATCCAAACGGGCGACAAGGCCGCTAACGAGAAACAATCCCAGCCGCATTATGTGGCTAAGCAGGGCTATCAACGTCCGGCACATAACAATGACGTAATCTCTGAAGGAATAGACGATCTCCACGCTGCAGCAGCATCCTCGAGTGATGGAGGAATTGTAGCAGCGCTCCCGCCGAAGCGTCCTAAGAGGGTCCGGAAACCCAAGGCGACACAAGAGACGACATCGACGGGAACTGGGCAGCAGCCATGGACTGCCTACAACATCACAAAGGAAGTCTATGAACTTCGTCAGAAGTACAGATATTGCCTTTGGTGCAATGGAGTCACACAATTGACTGCACAATGCCCCGAAAAGGGAAAGGCACGCGTACTCCGTCCAGCAAACTCGTGAAACTGAGATACGCAAGGAGAGGGGCGACGTCTCTCCTCACTCCGCCGGACCCGGTTGCCTTGCTAGCAATCAATGTCACTGCCGGGGAGCATGCGCTAGTCGCTGATTCTCGTGCTATGTACGAGGATTATGCCGCCCAGCTGGTACCACCATTAGACCAGCCAAGCCACGTGCATTTAGCTAGCGTATGCGCAGCCTGTACACCGTCGGCAAGTGATCCGGTCAGTTCGCCACTGATTTCCGAGGACTAGACCGCGTGGTCAAGACTTGAGGAGCTTGACCCGCTCACGAGAGAGGACTTTGCTTGGATGCCTCTACCCTCGACTGAAACCTTGCCAAGGCCGCATTGCAACGCCTTGATGGCAACTCTACGCTCCTATTTGCACACTACAGTACCAGCTCCGTTGACGGACGACGGGGTAGTGGTTGTCGATCTCCGCTCCTATCTTGCGAAGATTGACCGCGAGTACACCACCCAAAGGTACGCCGAAACCGACGATCCTTTGCTCTATATCCGCATTCAAATCGGAGAGGCAACCTGTAGTGCCTTGATTGATTGCGGAGCGTCTCGCAACTTATGAGCCAAGCCTTTATGGCCCGCGCAGGTCTTGGCCTGCGCGTTTGAAGGAAGACGCAACCCACGCAAGTTACACTCGCGGACGGCCGCACGCAAAAGTCAATCGGCCGATGCGTCGACGACGTTCTGGTATACTTTGCGCCACTTGCGTGCGAGCCGGTGTCTTTTGACATCCTCGACGCCAAGTTCGACATGATTCTAGGCATGTTTTGGTTGCGTAGCGCCGATCATCCGGTGAACTTCCATGACCAAACCGTTCACATCCATGATCGGAACGGAGTGTTAGTCCGATGTACGGTCGCGACCCCTCACACTTCGATTGCTTGTCACGTGGTTTCCGTTGCGAGAATTCGTGACGCCATAGCTCGGAATGACGTCGAGGAGATGGGCCTTGTATTCTTGCATGCTCTCCCCTCGTCGGACGGACCAGCCGCGTCACCGCCGGACCCACGCATTTCTCACCTCTTGGACGAGTATAGAGACGTCTTCGAGGCTCCCACCGGAACGGTCCCGGATTGGCCCATACGTCACGGGATCACTCTCGAGGTTGGCGCCGTCCCTCCGCGTGGATGTATCTACCGCATGAGCGAAGAGGAACTCGAGGTGCTTCGCGCACAACTCGATGACCTTCTCGACAAGGGTTGGATTCGCCCTAGTTGCTCGCCATACGGTGCCCCTGTTCTCTTCGTCCGGAAGAAGAACAAAGACCTACGGTTATGCATTGATTATCGAAAACTTACCGCACAAACCGTAAAGAACGTCGGCCCTCTCCCCCGGATTGATGATCTTCTTGAGCGGTTAGGCGGCACGACGTACTTCTCGAAGTTGGACTTGAAGTCAGGTTACCACCAGATTGAAATCCAGCCTCAAGACCAGTACAAGACCGCGTTCAAGATGCGGTACGGGCATTTTGAGTGGGTTGTCATACCTTTTGGCCTCACCAATGCCCCCGCAACTTTTCAAGCAGCTATGACGACTGAGTTTCGCGACTTGCTCGATCGCAGCGTCCTCATCTACCTCGATGACATCTTGGTCTATAGCAGGACGTTGGATGAGCACATCACACACCTTCGTGCTATTTTGAATCGTTTGCGACTGGCCAAGTACAAAGCGAACCACGACAAGTGCGAGTTCGCCAAGCAAGAGCTTGAGTATTTGGGCCACTATGTTACGCCGAAACGCATTCGTCCCTTAGCGGACAAGATCCAAGCCATCGTGGATTGGCCGAAACCCCGTTGCACAACGGATGTACGCTTTTTCATGGGTTTGGCTGGATATTATCAGCGATTCGTCGAGTCATACTCGAAAGTGGCCGCTCCTTTGTCGAGACTCCAATCCCCGAAGGTGCCCTTCGAGTTCAACGACGCAGCCCGTGGCGCATTCACTACGTTGAAGGCAGCAATGCAAGCCGCACCTGCCCTCCGTATATACGACCCCAGCCTACCCACCCAAGTGACTACGGACGCTTCGGGATACGGGATTGGTGCGGTGTTGGAACAGTGTCACGAGGACGGTTGGCATCCGGTCGAGTATTTATCCCAAAAGGTGCCTCTCGTAAACACTCTCGACGACGCTAGGAAGAAATAGCTACTCGCCTTCGTCACCGTTCTCAAACGGTGGCGCCACTTTCTTCTCGGTCGTCGGCGTTTTAAATGAAATACGGACGCAAGATTCGGTCACTAGTACGATCGGTCGATGGATGTATTACATCGACCAATTCGACTTTGACCCGTGCCACATTCCCGATCCCGCCAATCGAGTTGCGGACGCCCTCTCATGACGACCCGACTTTTGTGCCATTGTGACCACGGCATTCGACCTCGATGACGATCTGCAACCGCATTTCATCAAAGGCTACAAGTCCGATCCGACTTACTCTACGCTTTACGCGGAGCTTTCATCGGATCACCCGCCGGCTAGCCACTATCGGATTTCCGACAGGTTCCTTCTCCTTCACACGAGAGGAAAGGACTTGTTAGTTGTGCCCCAAGATCACATCCTACGGACTCGTCTTCTCGGCGAATTCCACGACGCACGACTTTCGTCACACCTTGGCGTGAATCGCACATTAGCACACCTCCGCCAGCGTTTTCATTGGCCCGAAATCCTCCAATTGAGTCATGTGCAGTTTGCCACCGCAACAAGGATCGATCTCGAGTCCCCTTCGGTGAACTGAAGCCATTGCCGATTCCTCGGGCACCGCGCCTCTCCATTGCTATGGACGTGACAGGCCCGTTTCCCCGCGATCGCCACGGCCATGACGGTATTCTCACGGTCGTTGACCGTTTGAGCAACTATGCTCATTTTCTTCCTTGCAAGTATATCATGCTACAGCGCCCGAGCTCGCACGACTCTTGCACACCGGTTGGATTACCAACCAAGGTGTTCCGGAAGACATAGTGAGCGACCGAGATACTCGTTTCATGTCAGCCTTTCGGACTTCCCTCATGGCTGAGTCCGGTACGACAATGAAACCGAGCTCGACTCAGCACCCGCAGACGGATGGTCAGACGGAGCGAGCGCACCAGACCGCTCAGATGATGTTGCGTACGCTCATTCGTCCCGACTAGAAAGATTGGGTTGACCGGCTTCCCGACATCGAGTTCGCCTATAACACTTCGGTGCACCCGGCGATCTGCGTCACACCATTTGAGTTACATCATGGTGGAGAGAAAGCACGGATCTTCGCYGATMTCCTTTTGCCACAGGCTGCYGACATARACGTCCCTTGCTCTCCCGCTTCCGTYCGGAAGTACCGGGACTTGCTGATCAAAGCCCGCGCAAATATGCAAAAGGCTCAGATCCGCATGCAGCAGCARGCTAACCGACGTCGACTTCCATGTCCYTTCCGCGAGGGAGACCTTGTTTGGGTCCTCTCCGAGGAATTTGCGCTCGAGCAGGATGTTTCGCGCAAACTCCTTCCGAAATGGTTCGGACCATGGGAAGTCACTTCTGCCGTTGGAGACGACCCCGGAGGTCCTTCCTTCGTGATCAACATTCCTCCGCACCTTACAGTGCATCGGGTCTTCCACGCATCGAAGCTGGCCATCTACACGCCACCTTCGATGACGAGTTTCCCGGACGTCGATCACAGGATCCGCCCTCCATGGATGGACATCAGGAAGTGGACCGAGTCATCACGCACCGCAAGTATGGCAACAAGCCAATGCAGTACAAAGTCACATTCAAGCAATGTGCGCCGGACGACACTCGGTGGATCTCTAGTGCAGACTTGCAGACTTCTGCACCCCTTATCTTCGCCAACTATGAGAAGACACGACTTGCCAAGGCAGCAGCTCGTCCCACCCGACCCATCCCGATATCGGACAGACAACTCCGCCCTCGCAAGCAGCTCGGTCTTTTAAGAGGGGGAGTGTGTTACATCTTCGACGCCACACGGGTCCTACCGGACCCGACATAGGGTAGAGGGACACAGTAGGGCCAAAGGCCCGACCTTGGGGGTACTATAGGCCGTAAAGGCCTTACCTTGGACCAGACCCGACGGGCCGGCCCAAACGATGTTACCGTTGGGCCTGGCGGCGCTCTTGAGGCTGCCGCCCGCCAGTTGGGGCTGAACCGTCCATCTAGACGGTTCAGGGCACGGTCCGGCCTCGCAGCATAGAGGCCGACCTCTGCCCACCGGTACAAAGGTACCGGTCCAGCCTCAGTGAGGCTATCGACCTACCGGCATTCTACCGGTACGGTATGGTACAGCGCGATACAGCGCTGGCGCTAAGATTAGCGCAGGAGCAGCGAGGAACAGCGCAGCGCAGATTAGCGCAGCAGCAGC